CAGAAGCACATCCTCGAGGTCTCTTACCGTGCGAACCTCTGGTTCATCGCGTTCAAGTTTTCGCCTAATGGCGCCGATAGCGATGAGAAGGTTAGGTAAGGTAGGATACTTCGACCCGCTCAACCAGTCAGTACATAATTTAAATGGCATGAGGGCATCGTACACGGCTTGGAGGACGCGATAATCAGTGTGACTGAGCCGACAGTTCTCGACTACCTTATAGACTGGTGAGTTCGGAGGCAATGTCGATTTCACCGCACGCTGAAACTCTTCGTATTGGAGCTTGTAATCAAGGATCTGCTTGATCATAGCGAAAGTGCTATTCCAGCGGGTGACCGTGTCCCCGCAGTAAGCCGTCCCTCCTTTGCTAGCGGGGGGGAACTTTTCCCTCACATCATTCATGATGTCACGAGCAGTGGTAGATTTTCGCAGCAGTGAGATCAATGTTCGAACACGGTCAACCGAGCGCTTAGCGCTTGCTTGGGTGCGAGTTACCCGCCCAGCAGTCTCGATGCCATCACGGAATGCTTCATCATCTCCTTCAAGCCCCCAATCAGGCTCGTCCTGTTCAATGTCCTCCTCTGCCTCCATCAGAAGCGCATCAGTGTTGACATTAGTGGAATTGTCGCCCTCGGTGGGATCCTTTGCATCCATTTCCTTCAGAACTTCTTCCGCTTGTGCTAGACCGTCCTCTACCGTTTTATGTCCATAGATGCCAGCCTTCTCAGTGCGCCTCGTTTTATATAGGGCCAAACCATTACACACCGTCAAGTGCAAACGGTGTGCAGCACAGGGCAGCCATTGTTTGAGAAGGCACATAGTGCCGGATGCGACCAAATCCGAGAAACATCTGACCATATTGCTACCAGAGTCTGTGCATGCTAATGCGACCTGAACAGCGATACATGTTTAGAGGATGTCTATGACAGGTAGCCTGTCTGAGGAGGTACCTTTTCTTGGAGGCCCATTTTATTGAGAGTGGTTGTTAGAAGACAGCTGATATTGTCAGCCGTG